AGGTAAATGTTTAGTAAAGATTGATTTAATATATGCAAAACTTATCTGAACTTGGGAAGCACGTTTTATGGATAAAAATTTCAAAATGGACGCAATCAAGGGAATGGGTCGTACTGCATATTGATTGGGGAAGATGGAATTTTATAAGCCGGCTGTCCCGTTAATTTGGTCAAGCTTTCACTTTTGGTTAGATCTGCTTTAGATGTGTGTTAGGTAATTTATTATGGGACTCACTCAATATCATAAACGTGTTGCCCTGCTCCTCCTTCCCCTTACCCCCCCTACCTAATGTTAAAATTATAATCTTACTTCTAATTATTAATTTTAGTGTCGAGTGTGCAGCTATATCCCAAGCTCTGATTCATGATTCACACTTCAACAACACTCTGTTTGGGCCATGTATTAAAGATGTGTTAAATTGTTGATTTTTATAGTTATTCTTTAAGTAGATCACAATTCTCACATGATCATAGGAGACATTTAAAAATCGAAGCTTAGGTCTTTCTGACAAGGCCACGATGTCTGTTAGTAGATAAGTCAGCGAAAATTGATATATCTTCATAAATTTGCACCTGCCCATGGTGTTGGACTTGGCAGGGAATTGGATCGAGCATAAATCTAGTTCGTACATAGTACTAATGTTTCACTATAAATTAAGTGTGTCCATGTTCTTCGGCGGTAATTCGGTAGCATGGTTTTATAATCTTAGTATAACGTAACATCTCACCCATTGAAAAGGGCCAAAAAATTATTAACATTTCAGGCCAACACTTTATTTTCTTTTGACTTTCCAATCTCCAAACATTTCGGTTTGATAGAACTAGTTGAAATATATAAAGTCTCATCTTTTTATCATAGCTTTAATATTTTCTTTCTTTATTCCCCACTGCTGAAAAATCTATTCCAAAGGTCAAAGTCAAACTCGATTGTTTTAAACAGTCCAAGAGTTTCTAAATCCAAACCATATCAATAAAAACTGAAATTGTATTTGGACCTAATTTTTTGCACAATGCTTTTGATACTCCAAAAAGTGGTTCTCCAGAGCTGTCATCAACAACGATTATTGCAAATGTTGAAACTTAATTATTAATAGGTTTCTTTTTAAGTCTTTTTATGTCGTCTATAGGCTTGGTATTTAAGGTTCTAATCACTCAAAGTTCCTTAAAAAGTTTCATATTCACGATAAAATTCACTTATAATTTAATTTTTTATATATATTAAATTGTGATAATTTTTATTTAAATTATCAATATCTAATTTACCCATGTTATCTTGGCGAGGATTTTAATATTGCCTTGAATTTTTTTCTAAAATAAGTATTAAAAAGTACTAGGAAAAAAAATACCCTACCATAAGGATTGGATTATGTTAAACGATAAACTAAATTCTTTTCTGAAACGCGTGCATTACTTATTTATCAATACATGTAACTATTGTCATCACTAAAAGAATTTTTTCAAAATTAAAGTTATTTTAATCCTATTAAAATCAATTATGCTGTAAGATAAATTGAATCTATCAGTCATATTATGTATCGAGAGTAAAATGTTTAAGTTATTTGATGATAAATAATTTTATATCTTGAAAAATATAAAAAAATAATAAGAATACAGTAAAAATAATGAATCATATTAGATTAAAGTTTAAACGTAAAATTTTCTTATGGACCTAAAATTTCTAAACATGACTTATTTTCTAGTCAAATTAGAACTTAAAATTGGAAGAATGCAAACAGGAATTAACTTAACTAGCAAGTGTACAACAATTTATAAGTTTTCTCCTGACTAAATCGATCAAACACTAGCCTTTAACTTTCACTTATCTGTACATTTTAGCCTATATAACTTTTATTTTTTACTTTGTTGATCACTTTCTTTTTCACATCTCACTTATAATTTTTCTTTGCCAGTTTTTATCTCTTTATTGTTTATTCCATCATCTTCTTGACAAACTATATTAAATTCACTACAAGAATTCTCTCTGAATAGTTCAAAAACTTATAACTAAGAAATAAATATTTATTTTTTAAAATGCTTACTTATCAACGAGAGATCATTGTTTGTAATTAACTAATTCATTAGTTTAATGATTTAGTTGACATTGTCACAAGTATAAACACAAACAATTAAAAGAATATGACATCGAATACATGCTTGATTCAGGTTGTTTTTGAAAATTAATACTCGACTTTTTTTTATCAAATTAAGAATTTTAAATATGATTCATTTTCAAACATACACTATATTTATGATAATTTATTATCTTATTTGAAAATTATTCATAAAAAAGTACCCCTTATTTTCTTTTACTCCTACTCCCACTCTCAAACAAAAATATGTAAAATCACTCGTTTTGAAAACTAGTGCAATTGATTGTCAAGACCACATTTGATGGAATAACCCACCTGGCTTGATTCAATTGTACTTAGTAAATTATGCTGGTTTTCTTATTATAAGAAAGCACTCGTTATGTAGACACTAGTGGTTTTGTCATTAGAGTGGCCTAACACGTAGCTAACAAGTTGAGTATGGAGTTTGGATCCAACGTGTAGCCATGGACTTGCTGTCTTGTGACTTCGAAAACAACGTAACCTTAATTACGGGTGCGACAATGGGCTGGGTTGTGCAGCCGTATAAGCAAGTACCTCACTTTTGCGTTAGCACAACGCTGTTATGGGTCGTATTGGTTTTTATTTCACGGGTATGGGTCTTATAGTTTAGTTAGCGTATATCATGGAACACCTGATTAGTAATTAATGATATGTTTAAAGGCAGATAAAAAAAAAAGGGATAGAATGACGCTCTTTAAGACTTTAAGTTAATTAGAAAAAATTATCTAGTTTAAATTTTAGTAATTCATCTTTAACTTGAATTCAAATATTGGGTAACTGAACTTTCTGTACTTGACTATGTTGAGTAATGTAATTTAAGTCCTCATGGGGAAATCTTGTATACGGAGTCAATTTGAACAATGATGTGTCATTAATCAAAATCATAGTTGAAACGCTATCTTGCATTTTAATTTTAAAAATGACAATAAAAAGTAGGATTTGGGTACCACCAGTCAATGGTGGAATGGTTGATGTCGTATCCTGATTCAACAGTATAAAAAAATGAATTTTTGTTTTAAAGGAATTGGATCATCTACCGACTAAAGACTCAATCCAATAATTTGTATTTAATGAATTTACATTTACAATTTAGATTGAACATTTTATTAAAAACACTAGCCAATTTAAATCCATAAAAAAAAAAACTATGGTGTGTAGTCAGAAAAAAGGGCCACACAAGTTTCTTTCTCGATTAGATAAAAATGAATGAGTGTTGGGTGAACCGTGGGCTCTAAGCAATGGCTGCAACTATCTTTCAGTTTGAAGGATTTGATCCAGTAATTATGTTTTATTTGCTACCTTCGAGCCTGGTTGGATACTTACAAGAGTACAGTACCACATGAATATGGAAAATTATAAATAAATTCAAAAGATTATGACCTGTGTATATGGATTTAGCTTGCCTTAATAATTTGTAGAGAAGTGGAGAAAAGGTGAAGCAAGCTATGAAATGATCTAGGGAGCAGAAACTTGGTCTTGGAATGATAAATTTATAAGGTTAGATCTAAAATTGGTTTGTGGCAAGAGTTAGAAAACCTATCATTTCCATTTCTGATTCTTGTGTCTATCCTTTTGGTTCATTTTTCAATTTGGGCTGGATTGAATTGATGAAAAATATTGGGTTGGAACAATGTGAATGTAAAAGAAAATAAACATGATTTGACTAAAAAAAGAAGATAAGAAGTAAAAAAATTAAGTAACCATATGCCGGGCTCCCGGTCATGAAGACTTTATATGACCTATTTTGTTGTTTGGGTGAGGGAAAGTTGATCATAAAAATTAAAACAGGCCATATACTCTTTTCATCAAACCCGTTAATTTTTTTAATTTAAAAATGTTAGACAATTTATAATAATTAGATTTTTTTTCAGTAAATATTGTATAAGAAATATTTTACATTTTTATTAAAATTTTAAAATTATCACTTCTAAAACAATAAGGTCCTGTATATTTTTTCTTTCTAAGGAGTGTTTTGAAGAACTCGTGCACATTTGCCTTTCATTAACATTTACTTATTCCTATAAAATTTTTAGGATACTTTATCAAAATAAATTTTAATTTATTTTAATAATTTTTTAGTTAAATTTATTATGTAATTAAAAAGTTTATTGAAAAAAGATTTAATTAAAATTTTCACTCCAAGATATCTACAATTTTGGGAACAGAACAGAAGCAACGTTTAATATTGAAATCAATGATGCAGTCTCACATCGATAACGAATTAGCAAAAATCCCCTGGCAACATTAAAAGTATGAAGGAGATATATACAAGATTACATTAAAATCAACTCTGCTATTAAACATTCAAGTTCACCAAAAATAGTGACAATTATCAAGGCAAAAACTTGTCCAATGCTATACCTAAGTTAACAGTTTTGAAAGAACTTCAATCCTTATAACTGAAAATAAGTAGTTAATAATTATAAAAATTTATTAAAAAAAATATTTATCATATTTTTATAACCACAATATAATAATTATCTTTTTTTTTTTATTATTAACTACTTATTTCCATCCCAAAACCTACTTAAATTACATGTGACACATGGTTAAAGAACACATCCTCACTTCGACAAAAGCAGAACATAAACATGTAGGAAGTAAGATGAAATCGACTACAATGAAATAATTAAAACAAAAGATGAATATATAAACGTGTGTACTTGTAACGTTTTATAGAACTGAAGAATATATAACTGCAGTCCAATTAAAAGGAAATCAGATAATAAAATCTATAGGCTCATGAAAAGACAATTAATTATAAGCATAATTGTGAATGGTTGGATTCACTATAGAAAATGCCTCCATTCTCTCTTACTCTATGACAGCATATTTATCCTCTCTGAACTAACAGAGAAAGTGAGCCTCTTACCTGTAATTAATTAGAGATTTTTTTGCATACAATGATACAAAAACCAAGCACTTGACAAACAAGGGTGGGAGAAAAAAAAGAATGTAACTGAAAAGAAAAATAAAATTCCTCATCTACCCCTTTGAAGAGCCTTCTCGGCAGTGTCCATTTCCTCCAAGATCCTTGCCTTTCGTTTTGCAGGAATAGGAGCAGTTGGTCCAAAACTAATGTAGTGACCCGACACAGCATTCAGTGCTGAATACATGTCCCTGAAGGAAACCCTTCCCAAAAGCGCTTTTTCTCTCCTATACTTTGCCACCCATGAGTTTGAGCTTTCTCTCAAGTCAGCAACTGCAGTTGCCACATTAGGATCATTCTTGTCCATTGATATGGTTGACCTCACCTTGTTGATCACTTCCTCTGTCTCCTTTACATACTCTTCGTCTGAAGCTGCGAGTGCAGGAGTCAAGGGAAGCAGCCACGTGGCGGAGAGAAGAGAGGCCGTGATGGAGAAGAATTCACGGCGGCGTGGGTGGGTGGTGGCGGTGGCGGCGGGTGGAGTGAGAGTGGCGACAATGGTGGGTTTGGGTTTGATGGGTGAGAGCGATTTGGGTGTGGATGATGGTGTTATTAGTGTTGGAGATGCCATGGCGTTTGAATGGGAGAAAGAAAACTGAGTTTTTGTGTTGTGTGGGTAACGGGGAGTGGCAAGAAGAGGAATTGGGTTTTTGCCACGTGGCCTTATCCTCTTATCTCTGTTTTCAGTTTTTGGATGAGAAAGCAACCAATGATTTGTAAGGTATAGATCCACGTCTTCCAGGAATTCCAACTCCATATTTCAATATAAACAATTGATTCTATATCCCTTTCATTTACAAACACCATTTTAATTTTTTAAATTATAAACGTCATTTATTTTATTTTATTTTGGGTAGAATAATTTATTTTATCTGTTTTACAAAAAATTTACTTTAATTTTAATTTTATAAAATAAAATTTATATTAATTTTCATTTAAAATAACAATAAAAAGAAATTTAAATTTAAAATTTTAGTTTCGAAATTTATATTTTATAATGTGAAGAACTAAGTTTAATTAATTAATTTTAAAGATTAAAATAGATATTTATCCAGATTTGTGTAGTTTAATGTAGTTCTTTTAAAATGATGTTTCGGTAGAAGCTTAATGTACTATGGAGAAGCCCAACATAGGGTTGTTGCCTCTCTGCTTTTTATTGGTCCACAAGCCTCCCTCTTAAACTCTTTATTGGCTATATTCTGGACGTACTACGTTAGCCCATAAGACCCATTTATATCAGTTCAGTCCTCAATCTATTTGGACAAAAAAAACAAGACCCACAAAAACAAAATGGCCCTAGGTTACCCACTTTATAACTTTACAAACTCCCAAGCCATGCTGACCAAGAAAATAAAAAACACTCCCAAACCATGATTTCTTAAATTTCAATGCATCTAGATCTCTATAGATATCGCAACAACTAGAATTTCAGTTTATTTTTTTCACTTAAACAAATAAGTTGAAAGTATGCAACTCAGCTTTTTAAAGCTTAAAAAAATGGTTACTGTTGATATTAACTAATGGATTAATAATACGTTTATTAATTAATAAAAATGGACACCAATTCCCGTGTTAATTAGACATGATTCGAATCTAATTTCAATAGCAATTGAAAATGGCTTCAGTCTAGGTCACCTCCTAGTTACAATGGTTTATTCACTATTTTATTCAAAATATAGTTTGATATTTTGTTAACAAGTTCATCTTTAAGTTCATTTATTATTTGTTACATGAGGGTCTTATGATTGCCATTGGCCCATCATAATCACGGTTTTTAATGCATGTATATCAATAATTTATACAAAAACAATGTTAAACTTTTTTAATATAACTTTTATTATAATATTTTGAATGTAGCTATAATTATTTACAAAAGAGAGGATGGGTTAGATAACCCTAAAGATAAAAATAGATTTGTGATTTGTCGAACATTGATGGCCTGGCTTACACTAAATTTTGCATGTATTTGAATTAATATATTATATTAATATTAACTAAATGTACGCAAATTCTAGCACTATTAAACGTAGCGTTTCTCAAGTATGATGGTTTTTGCCGTTGATCTAAATATGGGGTTAATTTATCACAAGTCTTTTTATTACATAAATTAAATTAAGACACTTTAGAATTAGATATTGAATTATTTTTAAAAACTTTAAAATTTAATAAACACACTTACTTATGTAACTTTAAATAATATAGTAACTGTGGCATTACTTTGTTATTATTAATTATTTTCAAAATGATAAAAAAATTTATACATTATCCTAAAATTATATACTCTGGACTTAGTTAAAGCTTTAGGTCTTCTAGCATTAAAACTTAAACCTATTCTATATTGCCTTTAGGTATCAATATATAGCTTAGACATTGTTGGTCACAATCATTAAAAAGGTTTACTATTATACAGATTATAAATCTATAAGACACTGGGCGTGGGGATACCAAAAACAAATTAGCGTTTTATTTTATTGTCAATTTCCATTTACCTCTCTAAAGTTGTGTTTGGATTGTTGAACTTTCTACAGTATAAACATCTGAAAGATATATATTTAGTTGATAAAATATATTAATTATAATTTTGTTTGAACTATTAACACAAGGCACTTAAAAATATTTTTATAAGTAGATTTATTTTAAAAAATTAAAATGATGAATTTCATAATCATAATCTAATGAAAAGTTTTTTTACGACGAATTATTTGTTTGCTGAAAATTGGTTCAGTTTATAAATTGACAACTGATTTGATTGTGCCACTTTGGGATTAGAAAAAAATAAAATGATTTGATTCGCTTTGGGACTCTTTTCGTGAAAAGAAATCGTGCGGCTCTACGCTTTGGTCCATAATAATAGAGCCTAACCCCAATTCCAAAAGTCCGTCCACTTGTTTTTGTATAACTATTAATTTTTTTTCATATATTATTATAATTTTTAATTAATAAAAATTAAATATTGTATATGAATATTATAATATAACAATAATTTCAATAAATATATGTTATCATTGCATTACATATTAATAGAATAGTATTACTATTAATATAACTCTATGATGCTCATAAAAATAATCCTAATGCCTAAAATTTAAGGAAAGTGTATCACAATACTCTCTGTGAGGTAGATTCAACCTATCCTCTGGTATGCTTAGACGATATAATAGTATTTTATTCTTTTTTTTTTTTATCACATTATTTATTATATTTTTTTCTTCAATCTCATCTTTCCCTTTCCTACATCCTTTACATGATATATTGAAGTTGAACATTCTTATTCTTGAATACATTTGTTGTGACATCTTAAGCCAATGCAAAAAATGAAAAAAAAAATCAAAATTTGAATCCAATATCTTCCTAATTAACTATGAGGTTGATACATGGTAAACTATATCGTTCTTGATCTTTTATAAATATTGTACATTTATTGTTGGAACAAACGTCTATTATTTGGTCAATAGTCATTTAATGAATTCCACTTGTTGAATTAAATATTTATTTATCAAGTTAAAAGTTATAACTGATGACAAAGAAGTAACTCTTTTATTTTCTTAAAATCGCATTAAGTTTAAGCAACTGTACTCATTACAAGCATCATATATCATAGGTTATGTAATATTAAACTTATGGAATCCTATTGTGAGTCTGTGGCAGGCGATAGTTATCAATTATTATATTTTACAATAGATTACAACGATCCAATATTTTTTCTTGAAACAGGCAAAAAAGAAGGGATTTAATTATTATATAAATTAAGATCCAAGTTTAAGTCATAAGTTTAACTATCAATACATAAAAAATGCCATTCTACTACAAGTACAAGCGGTAACCATATGAACAACCTTTGCAGAAGAAAAAGGAAACATTAACTTCTGTTTTCATCATCTAATTGGCATTACTAGTTTATTAATTTCACTTAGTGATCTGGAGTCACTCTTCTTGCACTAAAAAGCAAAATGAACAAAAGCAAGTAGACCGACCACGCACCTTATGGAAACCCATGTTTTCCTCCCTCTGCCTGGTCCCCTTAGAAAAATTTTAGAGAGAGAGAGAGAGAGAGAGAGAGAGAGAGAGAGTGGGGTGGCTGAGATGATCGAAGTTGACAGAATTAAGGGACCATATGAGATTACTCGCCTTGTGAGAGACTACGAAATTTTTGTCCACTTACTCTTAATGCTTTATGGCCTTTATTAGAAAATTGTCCTTAACACATTCTTAAAAACACGTTTATCAACGAAAGATTATTGTTCAAGTCTTATAATTAGAAGTGTTTGACTTAAAAAGTATAGTGTGAAGAGTGAAATAAGACAGCATGCACATCACATGGACTGTGTTATAGAGTAAATGGAAATTGAAAGCAGAAACTTATGGTCTCCAAACACCAATTGCGGGTTTGGTGTTTGGAGACCATAAGTTTCTGCTACAATATGTTACATTTTACAGTTGTTGGAAGGTAAAACTAAGAACAAACGGATAGCTCGTGACAAATCATAAACGGATGGTTGAGACTGCCAATGGCATGCACAGAGTTGGTTGTTCAGTAGGCGTTAAAGCCAACATCAAAGCACCATCCTCCTATATTTTATTAACCCTCCTTTATGACTTGCCAGTTTGAATGCATCTTTCCATTATAATTAGAAGCAAAATTTAAATGCCAAAACATCACGAAAAAGACCTTTGCAATTGTAAACCAATGTTTTACATTGTCAAGCGTTTAAAGTTTAAACCAAGCATATACTTATATTTAGTATCATGTGCAAGGAACAAGTATTGACTGCCTTCTAAAAATTGATATTAATTTAATAAGATTATATTTTCTAATGTTTAAAAGGACTGCGAGCTTTTTAACATGTAACTCTAGATTGTGTGTCTTTTTATACGTAGAATTTTATCTCAAATTTCAACTGGTATTATTTAAAAATTCTCCACTTAAATTTATATATATGTAAAAAAAAAAAGTAGACTAACAATATTGACATATATACGAGGGTTTAAATTTTAAAAAAATAAAATCCACTGAATCAAATAGTTGTTGCTTGACTTGCAGTTGTTGTTGGGTCGTGCTCCGTAGTCCCTTGTTTGGTGGAATATTAAATGATTTTGGTTTGTGGTAATATCCCTTCTTTTATTTTCTTACTTTTTTGGGTCAATTCTTTATGAGCTGCATAAAGAGTGCTTCTCTCAAACCTTGTGCTTACATATATTGACGAGTAAATCAAACGCAAGGACTATAATTGTTTATTGATTAAAGGAAAAAATTAATGTTCAATATTAAAAAAAAAATGAGTATTCAACTTTTCTAAGCTTTATCTTTTTTTAATAGAAACCTAAAATTTTAATTTTTTAATTAATTCTTAAATTAGAGTCAAATTATTAATATAAATTTTTTAATTATTTATTTATCTTAAATTTCAGCCATTCATTGTTATAACTACAGATTTTCAGACATTAAAGCATAATTAAAATAAACTGAAAATAATTGAAAATTTATATTTGACATTTTAAATTTTAATATGTTTGAATGTTTATAAAAGTGATTGATAAAAACAATCAAATAAATAATTACAATTTAAGTTAAATTAATTATTGATATATTATCTTCTTAATCCCAACTTAACCGAATGAATTATTTGCAGAAATAAAGTTAAAAACTAGTTATAAAAAATTTAAATGTAAAATATCAATTTAAAAACAATAAAATCTAAGGGAATTAAGAATTTTTCTTTAATTAAAATATCAAACACCTCTTGAGAAAAAAAATTGTTTCTTGACGGATGGTATCTTTTTTTCTTTAATATTCAATACCATTGTATTTCTCGACCATGACATAAACATTTAAAAAAAAAAGTTTTATTGAAGATATAAAGCTATCAATGTACTTAACATTTTCTTTACAAATAAATGTCAACAATGTAAAAATTATTTGACCATTGAACTTATACTTTTTACTAGTTAATATTCCGTAATTGATTCATCCAATTTCTCAGTTTTAAATTTTTCATCTTTTTTAAGCCTTGAAATTAAGCCCTACGGTTGATTAACTGATGACCTAAACTAGTTTCTCTCCAATAAGCAATCATTTTTTATTATATATAGTTGGGATTTGACAAGGTTGAGTACAATACATCGACATTTATCTCGTTCTATGACTCAAATGTTTGGTTGACTTGCCCTTTTAGCTATAAATGAGTAGAAAATAACTAATGAAGGCATGGTTTGTCGGATATGGGTGCACTCATTGGATAAGGATTATGATGAAGCAATGACACACCCCAAATTATTTTTTGATAAACTCGTCGCTTGGTTTACACTCTGCGTATACAGTATCTCATATATTCCCTGTTCATAATCCTTTGTTTTTTCATCTTTCACCCTTAAAAGTTCATATATGTATATAAGCTAATAGTATCACACTGAAAAAGTATCTTTGAGTATGTCATTATAAGCTTATCCATTAGTATGGAGTAAAGAGTGCAGAATCAGAATTCCGATTAGGATGAGAAAACTCAAGAGTTTGGCGTGTTTTACAAGGAATATGTCAACCCCCACCTTTATTTTTTGTGGAGACTTGAGAGTTTATTGTTATTATTATTATTAAACTCACTTTTCTTTCTCGTGATGCATAAGATTTCCAAACATATTTTTTATTTTTTTTTATCAAATCTGACGCAAATTATCATGAACGCTGGGATGCACCCTTATATTTGAACTTTTGTTATGCTGGACATTTCCCTTGTGTCAGTTTACTTAATGCAAATTAATATCACTGAAAAAAACAATGAATAGCCTCTATTATACATCCTGTAAAACAACGAGGACAGTTTATTAGACTTACTTGTATTATAAATGTGTTTTTCTAAGGCTAAGAGATTCAATAAATTCATTATTTAACTTTCAAAAAAATGTTGGTCAGTGTTTTTAGGATATTGACAATATTTGGGTAACTGATTAAATAAAGAGGAAAAAAATGTTATTTGAATGCGTAAAAATAAGAGAAAAAAAGTAAAAAACAAAATAATTTGTATAAAAACATTTTATACTAGTAATATAAAATTAATTTTAAAAAATAAAAATTTTAATATAGTATATTTTCTTAATGTTTGTATTATTTTTAAAAGTATTTTAGTATTATAATAAACTAGAAGAAAAAAAACCTCTCTCTCTCTCTCTTTTTTTTTTCTATTCATTTCACAAGTAGGAAACGGTGAAATTTTTTTACAGGCCCCATTTGTTTTCGTTCCCCCCCCCCCCCCCCCCCCCAAAAAAAAATAACACATCTAAATTAAGATTTTTTTTACACAAAATTCCTCTTCTCATTTTTTTTGTAATAGAATCAACCCATTCAAACAAAGTATGAGAATCTACTTAGTTAAGAAATTTAAAATAATTATTATTAAAAACATAATAATTATTATTGTTAAACATTTAAACCATTATATAGCATGAATAAAAATTATTTTTAATGGTTAATACAATTTTTTGTTGTCACGACCTTTTCCCATGTCAACTAATAATTTAGGTATTTACGGTAAATCATGATGACTAAGAATTATTTCAACTGAATTTGAATATGATCGAAATTTTTTTTAATATATAATCTATATGGTTTATCAACAATGTGAAACGTTACAAATTTACAGCTGAGACTACGTGTATATTTCATTTTTAGGAAATAAGATATTTTAGGTACTCAAAATAATATGTTACATTTTACATTATATCATTTAAAATGTTTTTATTATAAGCTCGGCAGTAGGCTGACTAGGCTCCTAGATAGAGCGGAGAACGTGAAGAAAAAATTGATATGGAGAGTATTTTAAAATGATGGAAGGATAAATAAAATATTAAATAAATAAACATAAAAGTATTGAAATATGAAATATAATTAATAATTATTTTTTAACTGATGCAGGTAAAATTTAAAAAAGAAAAATTTAAAGATAATGTTATAAGTATTATTAATATTTTTTAATTAAAAATAAAATATTATCTCAATAATAATTCTTTTTATTTAAATGTATTTATTTAAGTCGAGTAGAATTATATATTAGACGTTAAGTTTTTTATAATATATTTTATTTTTTAATGTTAGTTTACTAATTTTTATTATATATCAAAATAAAATTTTAACTTTAATTAGAACACTGAACAATATTTTTGTTAAAGAAAAAAAATACGTAACTTAACTACAGTCACAGGCTCATTTTATCTGTTTTTCTGCTTCCTAAATCCTAACCATCTTGGCACTGTCAGCAGTCTCCTCTCCTTTGCTTTTGCAACTAATAACTTCACCATTCCACCCCCTTCCTTCTTTATCACTTTTTCCTCTCATTCCCTTACTCTCATCTTCAACCTCTAACAAAGGTGATCAATCTTCCCTACCATTTCCTTCTACACTTTTTTTTTCTCCATTTCTCAAACATTAATTTGTTGTTTTCCTCTTAATTGCAAGACATCACTTCAGCTGTCACTTAGTACCTTTCAACTTGTTTCCTTTCTTTGCAGACAAAATAGACAATGCAGATGCAGGATCTGCATGTTCATTTTCTCTGCCTTCTTATACTCTTTTGTTTAAATTAAACTGAGATAATTAAAAATTCCCTTTTTTAATTTGATGTTCAGTGTTGACTTTTGATTCTTACTCTGACTCATTGTCTTCGTTCGCAATGTTTCTACTTGTTTTAGTAAGCTCAGTTACTTGAAGTTCCTGAGAAAAAAAAAATCCTTTATTTTTTTTTCGTTCTTTCTTTTAGCGTCACATTTTCCACACCAAAATCAGTTTTTTTTTTCTTCACTTTTACTTTTTGTTTCTTGGGTTGTCCTATTCAGAGTTGGCTTGATCTCTTCTCCTGTGTTGTTTTTGTTGTTGTTGATATTATTTTTATTATTATTTTGGGTTGATTTGATTTGATACTCATTTAATTTTTTTTCACTCTTTTCTTGGTCTCCTATTGCGACCTTTGTTGTTTTTCTATTGCTTGTTATGATAGTTACGTAATGTTTACTTGATTGATCTTCTATGTAGAAATGAGTTGTTGGGTCTCTCTGCATTTCTTGATTGACGAGATCATATCATAACTTTCTTTCGTCCTTTTCTGCTTTTGCGGTTTTCACTTTATCTCTTGTGTTTCTCTGCTGCGGGAAACCACACTTTGTTTGTATTACTTTGTTCTCTCTCTATCTGAACTTTCCATTTACCAAGGTTTCTGCTCTTCCTGGTTGCAGAGGTAAAAACCAAGGAAAAGGCTATCAGAGTTTGTAACTGAATTCCGCTTCATATGTTGATCTCAAGATTCTGAACCGGGTTAGCTAGTTCAAGTATTGTGTTGTTACTAGTTTCATACTTGTATTTTTCTCATTTCTACATTTTATCTTTCTAAGGTTCTTGATATTTTAGGTCAATTTTTTTAAAAATTATTTTATATTTTTGAATCTCTATTTTTCCTCCTCTTCCTTGTAAGTGACGACGCAAGGGAGAAGCTCTTCAAGTACTGCTAAGAGGAAAATTGAATAAAATATCAGAAGTGTGTTTTAGTTTGCCATTGGAGATTTTGGTGGTTAACCCCTTAAAAATTGAAGATAGGACAAAGAGACTCTCTGTGTTGTGCGTCTTTGTTTTCGTCATTTCTTTAAGTATGGCAGGGTTTCTGGATTTAATTATTTCAAACTCTCTATTTCGATGCTGTCAATGTGAATCCTGATGAAAGACAAATGACCAGACAGAATTTTAGTATTTTCTATTACCTGTTCACATGTCAAGACTTTTATATGCCTATAGCTCCATTAGTAGAGTCTTTGTTTCTTTCTTATATTTTAATTCTTTACATGCAACAATGGCTTGATTCTTTCAGTCCATATATTAACTATTAAATTCCTGTGTCTTCTTCTGGCCAGCTGATTTCATTATCCATTCGTATAGCTTTCGGCAAATTGTGCTTTGACCAAGAACCAAGGACCCCAGTTTTCAACTGCAAGGTGTAAATTGTCTAATACTTTGTGTGTGTGATAGAATCTTTGGGGTCAGGATTGTTTACTCAGTTGACTAGGCTTGGAATCTGAGAGTTTGATATGAGATCTGTTGTGTAAAAGGAAGGAACTTGACATTATTTCTATTCGACCTGATGTCTTCATTCTGGAATTGAGTAAATGGGCTGTTGTGTTTCAACAAGCAGTAAGAGTGCTTGTAGTAGCAGAAGCAATGGAGACACAGTCTCTCCGACGTGTCTAGATATTGGATTCTGTGGTCAAAAGAGTGCCAGGAGAACATTCTCTGATCATGTTGTCTCTCTGCATCAAGTACCCAACAGAATTTTCACCAATGGAAAGAGCAGATCTTCTTGCATATTTACACAGCAGGGTCGTAAGGGCATTAATCAGGATGCCATGATTGTATGGGAAGTATGTATGTTTATCTTATAGTGTTGAGGATGTATGGTTCTCATTGAGTGAATGGAGATTTAGTTAATTTTAGAAATTGACATCTTGCTTTGGAACTTTATTTCTGTAGGATTTCATGTCAGAAGATGTGACCTTTTGTGGTGTCTTTGATGGCCATGGTCCACATGGTCACCTTGTTGCACGCAAAGTCAGGGATGCATTGCCAATTAAACTGCTTTCATTTTTGCATTCCTCTGAATCGGGGCGAAATGGTTTAGGCAAAGTTTGTTTCAAAGGGAACACAGAGCCTGAAAGTGGAGAATCTCAGAAGGATTTGTCTGCTGAAGATAAACTGAATTCTATGTGGAGAGAAGCTTTCATGAAGGCATACAAGGCTATGGACAAAGAGCTGAGGTCTCATCCAAATTTGGACTGCTTCTGTAGTGGGAGCACGGCTGTCACTATAGTGAAGCAGGTATCTCAAAGAGCAGCATCTATTCTCATGTTTCCCTTTCTTTTACACATTTTTTATTTTCTTCACTTTCCAGGGTTCAAATTTATTCATGGGCAATATTGGAGATTCCCGGGCAATCATGGGATCTAAGGACAGCAATGACTCCATGGTGGCAATTCAGTTGACTGTTGATTTGAAGCCTGATTTGCCAAGTGTGTCATATGTCATATGTTAATCCTTTCTATATCTGGTCTATTTTTTATGTAAACTTTTTCAAACTTGCATGTAAATTCTTATAGGAGAAGCAGAACGAATTAAACGGTGCAAGGGTAGGGTATTTGCATTACAGGATGAGCCAGAAGTTCCTAGGGTGTGGTTGCCTTTTGATGATGCACCTGGATTAGCAATGGCTAGAGCATTTGGAGATTTTTGCTTGAAGGAGTACGGTGTGATTTCTATTCCTGAATTTTCTCATCGGCTGCTTACAGACAGAGATCAGTTCATTGTTCTTGCTTCAGATGGGGTAAGATTTTTCAATGTTGTATTGTATCAATTCTTGTTTATTCATTCATTTCTTTTTGTAGCTATTTTTAAAATAATTTCGTTGAATTTTCTCCCTGTGTAAAACTCTAAAGGAAATGTCAAAATATGATCCACGATTCAAGTTTCTTTCTGAGGGATAATAGGCTGCACTGATTGCATTCTTTTTAGTAGAAATCATTACACCGGGTCATGCTATGAAAAAGTGAAATAAGAACCTGTGATAAGCAGAGGTAAATTTTTAGAACGGTAATGAATAATGATATTGCATTAATTATATGGTGGTAGTAGGGAAGCTGGGAAATGACTCCTGGAAACCAACCTTAGAGCAGAATTTTTAACCCTATTGACAAAACTATTAAAAAGTTGGGAATGGGAACATGATCTTGTTATGTTATTTGCAACTCTTTTGAAGCAGTCTTTCTTGTTTAGGTATGTGTGAAAGATGTTGCTGTATATTATTAGGGCATTTTATCATTGATTGCCCTGCTCTCTAGTCTGTTGACCTTTCTACAAGAATTATTTTTAGAATATCTGTTTAGTTTTGTTCTATTTATTTGAAACTGTTATCCATCTTTAACTAGTTTAATGTTACCTCTGAAAAAACTCTCATCTTCTCCAGAGTGATGGGTAGTGTAACCAACTCTTGGTGTCTTGTGCAGGTATGGGATGTTTTGAGTAATGAAGAGGTAGTTGAGATAGTATCTTCAGCTCCAACTCGTTCATCAGCGGCAAGGATTCTGGTGGATTCTGCTGCTCGTGAATGGAAACTTAAATATCCTACATCAAAAATGGATGATTGTGCTGTTGTCTGCGTATTTTTGGATGGGAAAATGGATTCAGAATCTGATTGTGAGGAGCAAGGCTTTTCTGCTGCAAGCCTCCACAGCAACCATTCGGGTAATCCAGTTGAGTCAGATGATGGTCAAAAGCCTGAACCATATTTGCAAAGGAACTTTACTGTGAGATCTTCAGAAGAAAATGAAAACTATGGAGGACAAGGAGGAGTAGCTGTTGATGTTGAAGATGGAATATTATCAACTGATGATCAAAACTGGTCAGGTCTAGAGGGTGTCACCCGTGTAAACTCACTTGTTCAACTTCCTAGATTTTCTGAGGAAAGGCCAAAATCTTGAGTTTTGTTGGTTCAGTGGGATTGTAATACCTGTAGCTACACACTGAATTCATCAAAGAAAATCTTTCTTTGGTTAATTGCATGTAGTAAACGATGCTTAATTAAGGTCACCAAAAATGGATTCAGTATGATGCAAGGCATTAATAACATAAGCTCACATGAGGCAATGACATTCGTAGTCTAAGATTGCTCGTTATCAAACATGAATTTTACAAGTGAGCAAGTCTCGGTTGAGAATGACATCTTGTTTTACACACATATAGACTTTGTGTGCTTAGAAACAAATTAAAAAGCTAATAAATGTGAATTCAATGCAAAAATTACAACAGGTAACATTGAAATAAATGTGGATCTATTAAACTTAAATTCAAACAAGCTCCATCTTTTGCTTAGAATATACTGTTATTTTTCGAGAGGGATGGAGCATGACATATTGAGTAATGTGATTAAATTATCGAGGCAAGCTTTGGGATATGTTGAAGGCTTGTTAAACTGAACCATGACCCATTGATAACAAGCCAAAATATGGCCTTCATTGAATTCTCAACCAGAACAAATAACATTACATGGTTTTTTCACTTAAAATCCTGCTCAATTGTGCAATTGATAATGTAGTAAGTTGTATTGTGTGTAATTTCCATAGCATCAACTAAAATTTCAGGGTTCAGACAACTACAGGGACATTTGTGCAATAGGTTTTGGTTGAACTAATACTCAGCCGCTTTTAGCCACTACATGCGGCTTTTGATTCTTGAACAATGCAACTCAAATAATTGTGTATTTAGACCTTTTATCCCCGTGTGAAAAAGCGGTTCCTGCATTAAAAACAAAAAACCCTTATATAATTTTTACACTGTATTTTCACACAAATTTACTCATATCTCAAAAATGAGAGAACATCAAGAATGAAGCTAGAAGTACTTCCAACTTTTCTTGATATAACGGTGCATAACTCGGCCATGTGAAGGCTCCATTAAATGGCCGCTATCAAATTGTTGAGTTACCTCCCACAAATAGCAGGTAATAAAAGCGAGGCTAAAAAGCATCTCAACCATTTTGACAGTTCAAGTGTCCTGCAGTTCACTGAACCACAAATGATCAACTACCAAAGCAGACACCATGCATAGGAATCATCCCAAATCCCATTGCCCTTCCATAGGTACCATAAATGTTGATAGGACGCTATCTAACATATTCTTGTAAACACATTTTTTATTGTTAGATAAAATTTATTAAAAATCATAGGGTCTCACTTCTAATTTAACTAGTCTCACTTATACTTTTGTAGTTTTCAACTAATCTAAACCATAATTAAAACTGTATTAGGAAGAAAAAAATTAAAAAGTGTGTTCCTGGATACACTTAACTCACCGCCAGTACTCACCCAACTCAGCAAAACCTGAACTATAAAACGCAGGTACACACCCTTCCACCTTCAACACAAAAACACATCTCATCTCAATCAAACTCTCTTCAGATAATGGCTAGCAAAGCTTGCTCTTTGCATGCACTTCTTCTCATCTCCACTATCCTTTTTGCCACTACATGGCAAGCGGTTGATGGACGCCACATTACTCCAAAGAACTCAAACATACAGGACAAGAAAGAGCCTCAGTGGATGTTCAACTCTGATGGTGGTTTCTTTATTCCAGGCTTTGGACGAGTAGGTTTGCCACCTTTTTTTGGGGTTACACCTCAAAATCCATACACTGGTGGTAGTGGAGCAGGGTCAGGATCAGCAGGTAGAAGTTATGTTCCAGGTGGTGATGACACGTTTGTTCCAAACCCTGGTTTTGAGGTTCCAAATCCTGGCAGTGGCGGTGGAGTTCCAGCTACAGTTCATCCATGACTTTACTTCAGTTTTGAGTCACCATGCATGATTGCACTAGTTATGCTTTTGACAACTGGAAGTGCCCATCTATTGTTTTCTATGCCGTACCCAAATAAGCGTTCCACGTACTACATTATCTGCTATTTAGTATTTAGAGCCTTTCTGCTCTTTCTTGTTTCAAATGAATTATGCATGTTGTTAGCTCAATTGTTTGCAACCATAATGTTCTCCAATTAGTTGCTGATTGTAGTTGGATTCTCAAACATAAATCATAATTCTTCAATTAGCCTTATGTTGAAAAGTAATGAATGATATTTAAAATTATGAACGTTGCCTCATACTAATAATTGTTCTAGTTGCACTAATATTGCATGGAAGTTGTCAAGGTAACATCTTTCACCACTACCCCACAAGTCAATGAAGGAAAAAAGTCCTATACAGCATAAATGTTATGTAGACCTGCAGAAAAAATAAATCCGATAAAGGATGCTAATCTCTAACTTCTAACTACAAAGTTTAAATTTTTTTTCCACCATCTGAGAGGAAAAATCTCTTCAATTAAACGCGCAGTGACGGTAAACTTCATTAATGCAAAGTGATCGATGGTAAATAAAAGAGGTCTCTTACCTTGTGTTCTTAAAATATTGAATACACTTGCAATTTGTTTAAGTATCGAGAGGATTTCTAAGATATTGTAATGGGACAGAGTATAACTTTTTCCATAAATCACACAAGAGAACCCTTGAATTTCATGCCTGGAGTCTTTAAACCAACCGACCTTGATTCATATGAATAAATCCGTTTATTTTTTAATTTGAGTTATTTCACATTGTTAATTAACATGATGTGGTTATGTTGGAGAAAAAAGGACAATTTTTATCAAATAAAAATATACTTAAATTTAATAAAAATTGTATATATATTTTTTCTTAACGTAATGACTAAATAAAACATCACATCACAAAGGATTAGAAATGACACACATAAATACGAAGTTGGTGCGCAATCAATATGCAAGCGACCACACCAAACTATTGTCGAGTCTGTAGCATGCAAAATGGCGGCTTTGGGTCTTCATCTCTTCTACCCCACTCCACCAACGACAAACAGAAAGTAGAAATTAAAACACAAGCAATTGCTCTGTCATCACTTTTCAGTTTTTAGTCTCTGCAATTTATTTTGGTATTTAGTTGTCAACTTGTCATCCTCCTTTACCACAGTCACGGAAAAGGGCAATGTGGAAAGATCAAAAGTTAAACGCAAGAAACAAATGAAAGACAAAAGATGGGGAAATGAGTAGAGCAAAATCTGAGAAAGATGATAAATTCAAGTATTATATCATGATCATGGGATCTGACTAAAAATGAGACTTGCTAGTGCCACTACCTCCAAGCTTGGAACTAGGTTTGTAATGGAAGCCTAGCTATGTCAGACAAATATCCTGTTCAAGTGGAGGTGAAGAAAGAGGATATTATAGAAATGTTAGTGTAATAATACATTCCACCATAATTTTTATTGTACTTCTAACGTGATTTTATTCATTGATCAATGGCCTAAAAACAGGGGTTAGTCGGATCCTAGAGTTATTATTCACATGAATTTGTCTTGGAAGCATAAAGTAGAAGTATTAGCATACACACCTACATACAAATTCCTCCTATACAGAGATTGAATAACAATGTCAGAAGAAAGCGGTATCTTCCATAAACCTAAAGTGTAAATAAAAAGTTATTGCAAGAACATTTATTACTTTACTCAATGGCCTCATCTTTCAAAACATGAATATCCAATACTAGTACTTCTAACACATACTTCACCAACTACTGATTTATGCATCTTTCAAATGCGGTTCCATGGTACAAAAACATTAACAGTTTAGCACACTGTGATTAAATTGTCAACATTAACTTATATACTCATTAAAATTATCGCTAATGACATGTTTGATTTCCAATGAAGGAAGCTTCTAGTTATTTATTTGGATAAAACCGATAAGGAGCAAATTACAATTTGATTGATCAAAATATTATAAGCAAACACCCAAAAGTCATTCCATTATTTTCCATTTATGTTAACAAGTCAAAAGGAAAAAAAGAAGTCGACTAAGTTACCATTTTAGAAAAATTGACAATAATAATAATAATAAATCCCTAAATTTTCTATTAACATTAAGATTTTAAAAATCTTCGTTATTGCATAATCTATCAAATTTTTAGAAGGACACTAAATCTATTTACATAAAAAAATATAAAAATACTGATTGAAAAAGATAACCGCAATAAACATTTTATATCTTTTAAATGATTAATTCGATGACACAATTTTTTTTTAAAAAAAATACTTCTTTCTAATGTTTACATATAAAAGACTGATTTCAAAATTAACTAATGATATTAATAGAATAAAAAGTTGAAGGAGAGAAACAAAGTCACAAAGGATTCGGGATTGATAGTTTTACACTATCTACTCCTTTCAATATAAAATATATAACTGAAATCAAATTGAAAATACGATCCAATTACAGCTATGCAAAATTAACTCTATAAAAATTAATTCTACTGGTGGTTAAGACAAACTTGGCAGTTAGCACGAAATTACATTAACATAAGAGCTTAATGGGTAATTTGAGGAACAACTGAACAAGAACTTGTGGCGTGCAATAAAGAAAAATCAAAACTTGAGCAATGCGATTGATAAAAAAGGGGTGGGTGTGCATGGTACCTAGCTGAGGAAGAGGTCAAATGCTGCCGAGAAACTTGAAAATGATGAAGCAGAGGAATCCGAGGAAAATGAAAACGAAAATGTAATCAACGAAGACAAAGAGCTTGGTGGAACCATGATTCCTCTTCCTCCTTGATTTGGCTGGGGACTCGTTCAGTTCTTCGATCTTCACCATTGAAGAGCAGATAATGGAAGGTTGGTTCCGATCTTCACCGATTGCTGAACTACGCCTGAGGGCGCCACGGAAAATCCAAAACGACCCAACACTTGTCCACTGCTTTTAGTTTCTTTTTTATTTATAGAGGAATCATTCATTATTATTATATAACTTTGTTTTTAAGTTCAATTACATTTTTTACTTTTGTTTGAATTATGTGTGAATTTAGTCAATTTAAAATTAATTTTTAAAAACAAAAAACTGTTTTAAAAACAGAAATAAAACATGTTCTACGTATTTTTAATTATGTGTTTTATATCTAAACATCTTAAAATTTTATTTTTTAATAAATGTTTTTACAAATTTAATCAATTATATTACTTTCTATTCAAAATTTTATCAATTAAAATATTAGATTTTAAGCAAAATAAAAATTCTAAAAATTTTACATCTACAAAATTTAATCCTATATTTATAAAATTCTTTAATCTTTAGTTAAATTTATCTTAAATTCATCATTAATTTTCAAACGTATAAATAGAAAATAAAAATTAAGAGATCTAAAATAAGAAAAAATTTACAAAAAATTACTTATTTTAAATATAAAAATTTTAATTAAGTAAAAAAAAAAAAATCGAACAAGCACTTTAAATTAAAAAGATTAAAATACATTTTTTTTTTATAAAAGCATATATTGACAACTGATTCGATTCACTTTTGGATTGTGTTTTTAAAATAATTTCGATGCAATTTTTCTGTCATTTCTCATTTTGTTTCCTCACATCCAAACTAGCAAGACTCAGAAAAGGTGTCACCCTCGTTCAAGAATCGGGAGAACTAAAGCATAAAGGAATTAGCTTCCATAATTTATGTTACGATAATGATGATGAGCCTGATTGTTTACTCGTTCACAAGTCACGGCAACAAATAAATAGAGTTGAATTTATGCAATGAGACTCCGTTGTGTTGATCCAAGGGAAATCCAAATAGGCTCTAAGTCAATGTTACAAGCATATGTAAAAGTTAATGATCTGTCGATGCCCAGGGAAGTGGAAACGAAGAATCTGTAATGTATGCAGTAGTTGTGTATGATGATCCTGATTACAGGATCGTTTACATTTTTTCTAGCACTATATATGAGATGAAATTTCTTTATACGAAATTATGGATATACAAGGTAATCCAATACACTCCACCAAAAGGAACATAATTTAACTTGACTTGTGAATGCATTTATATTATGTAAATACAATCATCTATGTATATGATCACCGCAACCTGAATAGTGATCATAGCCGAAGGATGCACGACCTGTATTGTATAAGTGTATCCTGAATGAGCTGCAGCAGATTACAACCTCACGTGTCTAGGGTCCGCTCAATTGGACCTTCAACTGATAGATTCTTTGAATTTTAAGTCAAGACACCAAAAGCTTTTGCTAGGTTGATTTTGTAATTGCCATGAACCTAGATAGGTTTTTCCCTTGTTCTCAATTCGTTTATTCCTGACAGTAGCAAGATATAATAGAGCAAAAAGAAAAAGAGTCATTAGCTCAACATATGAAGTAGAAAATTGATGGAATACTTAACTAAATGGAATGTAAGACAGACTAGGCCGAGGTATAGTGTGGTGTATGTTTTTTTATCATAGGTAAATGTGCTGAACAGTTTTTTCTCTTCATTTCGTGGTAAGGACTAAGGATCATGAGCCCTAACCCTGGAAACTTAAAACACCCCAGGGAAAGAGTACAATCTACTAACCTTAGAATTCTGGCTTGAACTGGATGACCTTGTTTCTGATGCTGCATCAGATATTCGGGCTTCTGATTTCTCATTTGAATAGCTAAAAACAAAAAAAGATGGTGAATGGATAAGAATCCTGTTGACATTTTAATGATTATATGTAACACATTTTTAATGCTATTTTATAGTGGGCTGGGCTTTCATGCATAAAATGTGGCTGTCAAAAATTCATTCTTATATGGGAATCAGTCATAGGATGAGGGTATGAGATACTTGAGCATCCCAAAGATCAAAAGGACGTTAAAATCCTCCTTATGGCACACAAAATCATGTATAATCATTCAATATGATATGACCAATAATATTAGAAAAACCTACGTTGAAAGAATTGTGACCCAGATGAGCTCCACACAGTCCACCCAAAGAAGCCTTTGTTCCACAGGAATCACACCATAAGTAATCAGATGGGCAAAAGGCCAAAGTTTCCACCCTGCCTGTGAAGCAGATTAGAGATTTTAGTTGTCTAAACAAAATAAAGTTTGCTAATCAACAGTTACCAGGGGATAAGATTAAAAAAATACAATTTATTCATTACAATATTCTTCATCCTTGAATTGCTAGTACTTAGTTGTATTAGCAGAATTTCTCTTTGACCCCTTTCTTCCTTCATTTTCTGCTTTTCCTTTTAGGTGTCTATAGGACCGAATGGGCAATCTGTAACATGGCTATTCCTACAGTGGACCTATACAGGAACATGATCTCTAGATCCTATTTTGTTCACTTTGCTATAAGCAAACAGAGGCACTGGATCATTTATTCTTATCATACCAACTTGCTTTGCTAGGGCCCTCTGGTTTGCCAGCGATCTATTACTTAGGAGTTTAGGACTGAGCATATTTTACAGCTTTCCATTCAGCACAAGCCTCAAATAGGTACAGTACTACTCAGCTCTAGACCAGGAAATATAGGTCAAAGTGTCAAACACAATAGAGATTGCTGTGACACTTGAAACAAGTTGGCATGGAGACATAAGGCAAGGTTTGAGGATTAATTACCTGAACCACTTAATGCATTGTTGGGATGAAATAGAAAATGAGTAGAAAGAAAATATGTAAAAAAGAATATAATGAGAAATGAGATGGAAAAGGAAAAGATGTGTTTTTGGATGGATAGAATTACGAGAAAAAGGAATGAGAAAATTTTACTTTTCTTATTTGGATAAATGGAAAAAAAGAGTAGAAAAAAAGTAGTTTATATAAAAATAAAAAATATTTTTATAATACCAACAAAAATTTTATTTTAACAAAAATAAAAAATTAAATATAATATATTTTTTAATGGTGGTGCCTTGTAAATTAAGAAGGCATTCTATGTCCTCTAACATGTGAAACAATTATCACCTTTTTAAATTATGTAACTTTTAATTATTTTTCTATTATTTTAAAAAATATTTTTAATAAAATATAAAAAAATATTGCTACATTTTTCACACAAAATCTGTGTGAAATTTTTTTTTTTGCCCCACAAAAAAAGATCATTTTCCACTCATACAAAACAAAACATCCAAACACATGAAAACTTTCTTTTCCTAAACTTCCCATTCCTACATAATATTTTTCACCTAAACAAACCAAGGCTAAGTAATCATAGTTTAAGAGCAGCATACAGAGATTATACCAAAGCTCTGAATGAGGAAAGGATGGAACTACCTGAAAATTTGAATCCTATATTCACGGTAATTGCTACGACCCTAGTATATACTCGACACTATAACACTCCAAATTTAGGCCTGAGGGTATGGCAGACTCCAAGAGGATATAACTCATTTCTTAGGTTGGCATAATTATTAATATGCTTTTTTGATGCATCTCCAGGACTTTACAATCACACTAAATTCGTGTGAGCAACAAGGCAAGCAATTACAATTAACATCTGAAAAAAGCATAAAGAAACAAATAAAATAACTTCTTACAGTAAGCAAGGGCCAAAATGTCGACTTCAATTCGCCATATATGTTACTCAAAGATTCTAAACGCAACAAACCCAAAACAACATAGTAGATGCTGTTCCAAACTGCTGACCACACAGTTTGGTCAAAAACAACCTTAGCAGGGACAATCCACCACTCTTGGAAAGGAAAAATAGCCTGTGAAATAATGCAAACAAATTAAACCATTGATAGAATATCAACTAACAGTTCCAACTCAAACAGGCACAACAATCACCTCACAAAGTTGGTAGTAATAATGAGAAAGCGATCCGTGGAGAGTAAACCCAACAAGCCCTGATCTGAATAGCCGTGCCCGATCAAACTCAAAAAGAGGCTTTCCTTCATAGCACTGCATATCTTGATTATAAAAGGCTTTCCAATATAAGCATTTCATAATTTTGTGAGTAAAAAGCATACCTGAGCAATCCAATCTCCAATTGAGTAAACAACCCCGCTTATTGCCATTTTAGCTAAAACCGGGTTTGCTTTCAGAGCTTGCTCATAGGCCCCCCAATTGTGTTCAGGCACATACCTTAGAATCTCATAAAGGGTCCAACCCTGAATGATAACACCTAATTAGTCGTTAACTTCTTCCCAATATCGTACAGAACATGCACTTCAGTTCCCAATATTATATCAACATAGAAATGATTCAACAACAATAATAGATGAAGATACTGACATGCCAGTAATCATGGTCAATCGTGAGCAATTTGGTGACAGCAAAAGTGCCAAACCCCAAAACGATGAAGGCATTGACGGTGCTACTGCTTGCAATTGTAAGGGGAGGAAATTGAGGAGCAAGTTCTGTCTTCGTGTCATGTTCATGGATAGGGTTTCCTCTGTCTTCTGAGACCGGAACAATCTCTCGATCTTCTGCGACGGAGGCGATGAAACGACGTCGTTTTGGGGTTATGGAATAGAGGGAAATTAACTGGGGCTTTGATGAGGTTGAGGTAAGGAGGGGAAGGATAGTGCAAGGAGTAGCAGTAACAGCCATGACGAGTTCCGTTCCGAGTATTGTGTTCGTGTCGTGGGAAATTATATGCGACACTGTTTCGTTTGTTTGCAGAGAAAGAGGTTGGAGTCGACACTTGATTGGTTCTGTGCTTCGTGTCGTCAACCTTTCCTGCTACACCTACACCGACTGTGTTAAAGTGAAAATAAAGTACCAATATCTCTTATTCTTATGTGCCAACTATTTATGATTGGATCCAATTTTTTTATATACATAAAAATAATTATAGCTTTGAAAAGTTGTTATAACGTTGTGCCGTGCCGGAGTTTTCATCCAATTCCCCTTCAATTGCAATATCATAAGGAAGAGAAAGGAGAGGACAAAAGTTTACCAAAAAATAATATATTTAATCTTTAAAATTATATATTTTCAAATATTATATTTTAGCTTTTATACAAATATTTTGTTTTATTTTCTTTTATAATTCACATTTTGACCTTCTATAATGACATTAACAATAAAAATTCAAATTATAACAAGATATTTATTTTAGAACTAAAATATTAGTTATTTTAAATATAGAAATTATCATTATATTAAATATAGTAACTAAATATGTTCCTAATTAAGTATTTGTGTAATTTTTATAAAGATTATATATTTAATAAGCTTATATTTTTATATAATATATCAATTTTTATAAAATTTTAAAAAATATTTATTATATTCAATATGTAAAATTATATTATTATTTAATTTTAAAAAAATTAATTTTATTATACGAGTAAATTTATAAATTTTTTTATCATAATATAAGTATTTTTTTATTATATTAACTTAAAATCTTATTAATATATTTTTTTTGTCATATTATATCAACTCAAAAAAAAAGTAAATATGTCTAAATAATAAAATTGTTTTATCATATATGAATTATTTTTAATGTTTTATTAACTATAATTATTATCTTTGATTGATTTATGTATTTATTAAATCAATAGATTTTATCAACAAATATATGTGTATATATATAATCTTAAATAATAAATAATATTTAAATTTATAATTTTTTATTTAGTGACTTATTTTTAATTTTTATATAAATTCATCAAAAACCTTTTTTAATTAAAAATTATTTTTAATTAATACTTATTTATAAATTTACCTTTAAACTTAAAAAAAAAACTTATATTTTGCAGCTACTTTATTACGTTATAGTTTCTATTATTATAGTCTTATTAATAGCATTGACGATGAATATTAAAATATAAATGATAAGTATTAAAATATAATAAAAACTTTATATAAAAATTAAAATGTAATTTATTTAATTACAGTGTCAAGAATTATAGGTATAATTTAACCTAAAAATAATGATAACGTAGCTATCTTTCACAAAAAGGACTTGCCTTTAAAGTTTAAACCTCATTTGAAGATTACAGAATAATTTGTGAAATTCGATTTGCTCGAATCAGTTCAACCGCACTGGTCTGAGTTCTAATAAGTAGTGTAAGATAATAATGATTAAATAACAAGTACTAAACTTAACAAATTCTTATGTTATTTTGACAAAAGATTTCCAATGATTAATAGTAATAATAAAATATTAAGATTACTTTTATTTCATGAATATTACTGGACTTTACTTTGTTAAAGTTTATTTAAAATAATCATTAAAATTACGTTTATTTCATTCACATTTTAATGTAAAATTTGGCTTTCTATTTATTTTATTTTTCAGTTATTTATTATTTTACTTTTTAATTAAGATTTTATATTATTTTATTGTCTAATCTATAAATATCTTTTATGGGAATCAAATAAAATTATAATGGATGATAATATTCTTTATCAAATTTGAAACTACACATTGAGTTGAAATAACTTTTACCAGTTAATTTATATGTTTAATGGCAAAATTTTAATAAATTTTATTTTATTTTATTATTTTACTAAAAATAAAATAAATGGTAGATTTAATCATTGTTATAATATAAATACACTAAGTATAATTGTATTCAAATTCTGGAAACATGCAATATATATATTTCATTTCTACAAACAAATTCCAATGTTTTGAGGTTATTTATTAACAATATATAGCATCTTACTGATAAATAACTTTAATAACACAGAATATTCCGAATTCATGCAAAACAAATGCTGGGACAACAACAATCTGCAAAACAGAAGTGGTACTGGTGTTAAAATGAAGTGTCTGAATCATTGAAAAGTCAAAAGGAGGAGCAATTAAAAATTAACCCTGCTGGTTGCACAAACACGAGACATGGGAACCGTGATTAATTGGGAAGGTAGTGGAAGTGTAAACCATGTATAAGGATCTCCCCCAACAAAACATCACTGTTACTTATAACTCTGTTCATGTTCCTGTTCCTGTTCCCTCTGCTGGACCACGTTATTTGATGCTCATAGCACCGCATCCGCTTATGCTCTCATGTCCAATCTGATTGCAACTACACAGCGCATTAAAATGCATTTGTGATTTCCCTGTAGACCATATATTTCAGACTTTCAGTGCTCTTTTTTTTTTATTATTCTTTTTGTCAGCTGATAGTCAGAGTCTAATGTTCTGGATTTTTTACCATTAAACTCGCATGCCCAATAAGTACAAAGTATTTTATTTTTCAATAACTTTATATTCTACATTGTTTTTGGTATTCTTAATGAATTTTCAATGTTTTTAATCAGTAAAATTGTGTTGTTTTCTGAGTATTAAATACTTTTTATTTAATATTTTCTGTTTTACCTATAATCAGAAAATGTTAGAATGATAACATATGCATTATTTTTCCCCCCCGGCATTCTCTTTTTAGCAACTTTCAACAAGTTTCATTAGCAGCAGGGTTGTTAGCTCTCAGGCATTAACCATTTATAGATGGCAGATATTACTAATGGTTTTCGTGGCATCTAACAGTAAATTCTCTCGTTACTTTATTTCATCAATGTTTTACAAAATTGATAGATGAAGTAAATAAAAGTTAGAAAGTTAGTTTTTGATTAAAATATATTAGCTCAAAATTAAAATATATTAAATTAGTTTACTATGTTTAATAGAATCAATTGATATATTAGCTGATAAATACAAAATAATATAAAAAACCATATTTACATAATTTTTATATAATATTTTTATTGTTAAACAAACATATATTTTAGGTTTCTTGGTCAACTTTAAACGCTTACTATTGTTTGTTTAAGATTTGAATTAAAAAAAATTAAAAATAAATAATAGAAATAATGAAACAATTAAAATAATAGCATAATATTAAAATTGACAAGAAAAGAGGGATTTTATTAAAGTATTGTAGAATAAAGAAATATTTATGTATAATTTCTGAAACATAAACTGTGGTGATACTATTTCAACATATAAATTGACGTTGTCTTCTTCACATAACCGTTTCTTTTTAGTTGCCATTTCGTTACTTCATTTTTTTTCTTTATCAAAGTACGCATTTTTTTATCACTTAAATATTTATTAATGTAATTATTTAATATTTACTTACTCTTAAATATCACTTATTATAAATTTAGGTACATTAGTCCTTGCAAACATATTAAGTAGCAAACTTATTTAAATTGTCAACAAAAGCACAATTCTTCTTCTTCCTCCTAATTTCTTCTCATTCACTAGAGCTTATTGACATTATTTAATTTATATTTTATGAGAAACGAACATTGAGATTCTACTTAGTAGTGTTTGCTTATTTTATTCTTCTCATCAATCTTATCATTAATTATCTTTGTATAATGATATTCATTAATTGAAGTTATTTTATAGCTAACTAAACGTTACTTTTTTTAAGCAACTCTAAATATTCAAAATTTAAGTAGAAGTATATTCTAAAAACAAAATTCAAAATAAGAGAGATATTTATTTTATATATTCTTATTTTAAATTTCTCAAATTATTGTTAAACTTTTCTTAAAAAAACTAAGATACCTTATAAGTTACAAAACATAAATTCAAATGTCGTATGGTATAAAAAAAATATTGTAAGTCACTAACATAGATTTGTAAATGCTTTTATTTTGATCAAAGAAACTTTTAACCTAGTCAAACAAGTTTTAAAATGAAATTACTTTTGAATCAGACCGTTAACCTACACTTACTCGTACGACCAGTGATCCCTTCGACTAAATGTGTCATCACATGTGTAGCATTCGCACAATCATTATTCCAACTTCAATTCAAATCTGAGTATATTACAGAGGGACTTTCTCCTCCATTAATTGTATATGCACTGTTTTATCTTTGATGAAGAGGAGAGTAGATTTCCTTGTGTAGTTAAAAACAGGCGTGGTTGCTTGAGATGCATTAGACGTGTTGGCATGTGCGATATTATGGCTCCAAATCCATTTTCTACTGTTATTTAATAAGATTATTAAGTAGAGCAAGGTATATTAGACAAGTAAAAATAGAGGATAATTAAGAATAAAATCGATGAACAAGTTATGTCATTGACAGGTAGATCAGTGCAAAAGCATGACAACCTTGAAGTAGATCATTCTACCTCTCACAACTTAACAAGAAGTAAATTGAAATAGACCATTTAATTCAACAAATAAGTAGTTAATTTTTTAGCTCCTCCTGATTCATATGTCACATCAAAGCAAGCCAAAGTGAACATGAAAATTTTCAACATCCAGTGAGGTGGGTTTAGCTGTAGTATATGCAATTATGCTGACGTTGCAAGTTGGAATGAGTTTGAAATAACATTTGCTGGCACGTCCAACTTTGAAACTTGGGGAAAATGACAACACAGGTTTCCTTATGTGCTCAATTATTTGACCCACTGAACAGAAGGCAAGCTAGAAACCGGTTCGAATGGAACAGGCCAGCGATACCATGGATTAATCAAATTGGTAATATACGCAAGAAAAAGCTTTTGCTTCGCAACTTGAATGCACGATCATATCTTTCTTAACTTCTGATTTTGATAAACAATAAATCACGATAACATCATACGATTGTATATCTTTCTTTGCTGTATTTGAAATTTGGATTTGACTATAGATATTTGTATTTAAATGAATGTATTTTTTACGTGACTCATATTTTGTTATGAATGTATATCACTTTGATGATAGTTTTAGTTTGGGGTTTTTTATTATATAAATGAATAGGTTAATGGTTAACTGGAGTTCTCAATATTGTTCAAACCTGTTAAGTTTTCTCTTTTGGATTATGAGGGAAAAAAAAACAGTGAATTTAAGCCTACCTTAAAACAATTATGATAAAACATTGAAAAAATTCATCTTATCTAAATTGGCTCAAAACTATTTATATTTAAGATAAATTTGTAATTTGAATCAAATAAGGTATATACTTACATTAGATAAAAATTCAATTACATGGATCAACTAGACATTTTTTTAAGTTGATCTACAAACACCATTAATAATTGAAAATTAAGATTTTGTTTAAAAGTTTAAAAGGAGAAAAAAGAAAAGAGAGGAGGAGAAAAAGGAAAAGAAAGGTAATTAAAAAATTTTAAAATGAGCTTATAACAGTTTTTGAATATTTATAAAAAATTTCTTTTTAATCTACAAATTCTCAAATAAAAATTATAATCAAATAAATCTTCCCCTTTCTTTCCTTTTTCCTAACAAATTAAGAACATGTTTGTACATAGTAAGTTTTTGTTAAATGAAAGTTTATAAAAAGCAAGTTAAAAAGACTTATTTTAATAAGTTTTCTTATACTTTTTAAAATAAGTTTAAAAATATTATAACTAAAGAAGGATATAAACCATTTTTATAAGTTTTTTTAAATACCTTTTAAAGATGTTTTACCAAGTAACCTGCCCTGAACTTAATTACTTCGTTCTTGTTCATAAATTGAAAACGAAATGAAAATTCTGAAAATAAGAAAACCAACAATGATGCATCATGATTGGATTGAACTGTAAGCAGTGCTGCGAAACGTTTTGATGGTGCATGCACTAAGAATTTTGAGGAGGACCGGGTTGTTAGTGCACCTAGGGGTCTTGAACTGGCCCAGTGCTGCACCATTTGCTACGAAATAATCCAAAATCTTCTTGAAAGTTCCTCTCTCTACAATGCAAAGCTTCAATGGCCCTATGGAACTGGTTTTCCTTGCTACCACATAGCCATGGTCAACAAAAGCTGCATCCATTTCCCTGCAGCATTCCTCAAGTACCTTCTCCTCAGCTTCTCCTTTGATCTCCCAGAAAATGACATAGCATCCTGGTTGGTTTGACACATCTGCATGGCTAGTAAAATCAACAAGCTCAGCTTTGGCCTTGTTTAGCAGCTGTGACCCTTTCTCTACCACTATTTGAAGGTCTTTCTCTGTATTCTTGTCTATATTAACAGTTAGAATTAGTTTTCTTCTGCATATAAAGTTCAATTTTGGGGTCCCATTGTGAAAACCAGCCACTTCCACCACATCTCCTAGTCTGCACCTATACAGCCCTGAAAGTTAAAATATTATCTTCAGCTTCTGTATAAGTAATTTTTAAAAAATAAAACAATAATTTTATTAACCTCAACTTAAAGATTGAATTTAAGTATTTAAAAATGCTATTTTTTATTAAAAAATATTTTTAATAAAAGTTACATTACAGTTTGGATATAATTTTGAAAATGACCATGGACCATGACTGACAAAGTCATGGTAAATATCCTTGTCAGAACTCAGAAGAGACTGGAATATTGACAGGTACATAATAACATCAAGGAAAATAACAAAGAACCAAAGGTCACCACATATGAACACTCCTGCCCACAACCCCAAATTATGACCAGCACCGGCAAGAACTTCTCAAGTTATCAAAACCCATTTGGAGAATGTTTCAATTATGCACCTAACAATTAATATCTAGTAAACAAATTTCTAGATGTGTCTGATGACCTAACATACACCAGAGAAAAGGTATTAGATTCGGCCGAATTATTTGGTACATGTCCCTGTTCATGTACAACCGAGGGTCATATATCTTGCTCGTATTTGACACTTCTAGGCGTGGTGTTATTTTTGGATAGCTCCTTTATGAACCAATGTTCCACCATAGGCATTATTTTATGTGAGGACAACGGTTCTAATCAATCATGCCTAACCATGAATAAGTTTTTTAAGAGTGGGTGAGCGTGACTAACGTGGTGGTGTTTGAAAGAATTAGAATTTATGAATTTTTTCATTAGATTTTTTAAAAACTTATACCACATAAAGTATGATCAAATTCATTAAAAAAGAGTCCTATTAACTTATTTAAATAATTTTTATAAGCAATTTTATGAATAATTAAGTTCTATTTCTTAAATATTCAATATTTTAATTAAAAATAGGTTATTTACTGAAAATAGTCGAAAGATATAATTGGGATATAATTCACATTAAGTATTTGAATCAAGAAAGATGTTCAAATATGTAAATCATAGTCAGTGAAGAATATGAGCATTTAGCAGAAGAGAAGAGTGAATAATATTACCGGTGAAAGTTGTTAGCAATATTTCGTACTCTTGTCCGACTTTAACTTGGGATAGTGGGATTGGCTTGTCTTCCATGAAATCATCGGAAACAGCTGAACAACAATCTTGTTTCTGTCTGTAAAGTGGTATGAACTCAAAATAAGAGAACGTGGGAACTACAGCAAACGTTACTTTCTCCGGAGGCAAACTAGGATCCACATTAACCCCAATCCAACTCTCAGTTGAACCATAGTCAGCACTTACTAGTGGCAACCCATTTGCATAATGCCTAAGTTTTTTCAAATAGGGTTGCATAGAACCAGTCATAATGGAATATATGAACTTAGCATTAGGCCAAAGTTTGGGAACCAAACCAAACCATTCCACCAATTCGAGCTCCTGGCAAGCTGCTTCTAATTTTGAAGCCAAAGAAGGGTTTGAAGATATGATTTTCAGAACAGCCTCTCTCATTTTGGGTAACTCGATTCTTGAACTCAAAGTACCATCTCTAATGTCATTGCAAATGTCTCTCCAAATTTCTTCGAAGCTGCGAAACGCTTGCACTATGCCGTAGACAAAAGCTGAGGAAATAAACTCCACATGGTCAGAGAAGAAGAGGCCTAGAAGGAGGTGACAGTACGTGGATTGTGCATAGTCCCCACCAGAAATAACTTCGTAGGGACTGCAAGTGAATGATTTAGTTTTCTCTTGTTTAGTTTTGAATTCTTCACTTGCATAGTAGTGTGTTGTGGCTGTTCCAACTGTTAAGCCTCCTTTTGTTTTGAATTGCTTGCTACTATATATGAATTCAAGAATCCTTCCTCCTTCCCTTGTGGGATAAACCCTATAAACAGTGAAAAGAAGAATGAGAACAAAAAAAAATAGTATTATTTATGTTGTATCTCATAGCTAGCTAGGTTATCATGACTCGTGAAAGAAAGGAACAGCACTACAATTAATGAGACTTGAGAGGCGCACCTTGATCTATAGGCTGCTGCTAAAGTGAAAGTTTGAAGGGTAGTTTGAGCACTATGGCGGGTAAAGGGTACGAATTTTTGCCTTCCCTCTGTGGTTCCAGAACTGCACAACCTCTACCATATAAGATTATATTTTTTAGAAAAATAAATAAATTCATCAGAAAGTGTAGGAAGAAGATCTGCCATACAAGGAAAGAAAAACCAATCACCTTAATATACTATAATCAATATGCATCACCCGATTGTCATGTTTAATTACCCATGATAGATCTGGGTAATTAGTTAACTACTTACACCTAGACCTTGTCATTAAATCATAGTAAAACCATGAACTAAGCATAAGGAGAGATATATAGATAAGGGGGAGAAAAATCAAGGAAAGAGCCATATATGGGCTATATTTAACATTATATATTCTGATTTCCATTCATCACCCAAAAGAGGAAGGAAGAACATAAAGGAAATAGTACGGCGATGAGTCCCATTTATGCCCAAAAGAGGAAGGAAAAAACATGAAAGAACTAATAACAAACACACATATAAATAAAGGCAATAACAGTACCTTAAGGAAAGAGTGGTTATGGGTTGTTGCGTGAGTAAAGGACCTGTGTCTCCATCTGCAATTTTTTCGATATATGGCTCAAAATCTGCATGTGAAGCAAGGGGAACAGCAGAAGTAAAAAGAGATTCCAATGCACATGCATCCATCTCAGGGATATTGTAGCTCCCCAACCATTTCTTCAGGTATTCCACCCCATGATTCAGCTTCAAAATCCGGCACAATGTCTGAATCTGAACAGAAGCAGCGTTCTTGGACAAGTCTTCAAACCAAGCAATGATATCAAAGTCACCATTGCAGTTGCCATTGCCATTATTGTTGTAACTGAGAACATGCGGTTCCATTGAAGAGGGTTACTACTTACTACTACTACTCTTACTAGCTTGTAGTTACAAGTACTTGGGCATGAACAAGTGCAAGTAATAAAAATAAAGTTGGTGTTAGTGGGTGTCTGTTTCTATAAGGCAAGTAGATTGAAAAAGGCCAAAGAAGGAAGTGAGCCCACCATTGAAATATCCCTTTTATTTTGGTTATCAATCAAGAGCAATGACCCGGTATTCAAACGGCTCAACAAACCTAATGTTGCAGAAGCTCCACCGAAGAGTAGTACGATCAGTTATAGACCACAAGAAATGGGGTTATCATTTTAAGGAGAGAGAGACAGAGAACCAGATAGAGATTCTTCAATGTCATGTATGGGGACCAAACCCCACCACTCATCACACCCCCAACACTTTCCCTCTTAATTTATTGTCAGCCACCGTTCCAAAATCAATGACTTCTTCAATTATTTCGATTTCATTTGTTCAATCTTCTTGAAATTGAATTTTTGAAGTTAAGTAGATAAGTTTAAAGTTTACTTTAATGATTTAGACGAGGTAATTAAGTTTAAATTTTATAAATTTACTATTAATATTTCACTTAAATAACTATAATTTTATTTATTATATTTACAAAAAATTATATTTTGTTTATTATCATTATATATATATATATAATTTTACTATCAAATATTTTATTTTAATTGTTTAAATTTTTAATATTAAATTAAAAAAATACTTTGTTAGAAGAATAATAAATAAATTATAAATAAGTTCAAAAGTTTAGATTAAGTTAATTTTAAATTTATAATCATGTTAAATTCAAGTTTTAACTTTAATTTATTTAAATAAATAAGTTAAATTTAAAGATCTTTCATTTTTATGAGTTGATTTTGAATTTTAAGTATTTGTCTCAACTCAACTTAATTACTTCTACCCATAAGAATAGCAATGATATCATACATTAATTTAACAATATTTTTACTTCTCTTTTAACTTATTTTAATTGTTTATCTTTTTTTTTATCATATTACATCATTTATTTTTACCTTTTATTTTTTAAAAATTTAATATGTTTTTCACCCCTGTATGTTGTGTTAAGAGAGATACTATTTATCAAACTTTCATATAAAAAATTCGAAGAAAAGAGAAATGGAAAATTCTTATAAGTATGAAAGTTTATATAAATATAAGAATTTATCATAATTTTTTTTCGTAATAATATATAGTTCTTTGAATGCATTTAAGACTTAAGATACTTTATGTGTCAAGAGTTTTATCCACGTAAAAATTTTAAAATAGAAGATTTTTAATTTCATCTATAAAAAGATTTTGCAATTTAGTTGTACAGATTATAAAATTATTTTATTGATAACTTATAAATAGCAGCAAGAAGTGACTAACCACGTTAATTTTGTGTGCTTGTGTTTGTTGACAGATGATGTGGAGGGTTTTGTTTTTACCTTTTTTTTATAACTGGTATAAAACTAATGATTTGTCCAAATAATCAACACAAAATGGGATACAATGATGAAGAGAAGTAATTAAAAAAATGTTGTTGATAGGTTATACAGAAAAAAAAAACTATAATAAGATCAATAAAACTAAAAGAAAAACTACTAACAAAGTAAGTAATCTTAATACTTTGGATGTACAAGAGTGTTGTGATAAAGTAAGTATTATTTTTTGAAGTTTCAAAAAAAAAAATTAAAGAAAAAATAAGGAATTTTTTTATAAATATAATAATTTATTATAAGTCTTCTTGCTATAATAACATGTAAAAATAAAGATAATTAAAAATTTATAATTTTATTTAAACAAAAATTATTTGAAAATTCGTAAATATAAATAGTAGTTACTAGACCATGTTAAGTTTTTTTTTTTTCTCTCTTACACGTGAGTGCTACGGAGACGGATAATGCAATTAATGATTTCTCATTTCTCGCTCTTTTTTGAAAATTACTTACACTACAAAATTTTCCACATATTTTTACAATTTTCGGCAAAAAAAATGTGGATGAATTTTAGTTTAATTAATTAAAATATTTCGAACAAACTTTCAATTATTCATTATTTTGTTGACTTCATTTTTAGTAATATTTTATATCTTTTTAATTACTTTAGTGGATTTATTTATCGCTTTCTTCTTTTATCTTTTTTTTTCCTTAAGGTACTTGCACTTTTCAATTTTATTTCCGATTACAACATATGGAGTCATGATCATGAGATTTGGAAAAAGTTGAAGAAAAGCGTAAAACGAAAATTGACCACTAATGAGCTGCGTAGTCCCTATTTGTTTGTTGCATGCTTACTCAGACATCAACCAGTCACCATGGATTCCAATTTTTGCTTCCATACCATTAAAAGTGGATCTATATATGTAAATTCCTCTTATAATGACGATAATATTTCAACAATACACATCACTCACATTTCGGATTCATTCAACTCACAATACCTACCTTTATATACCTACATTTAAATAAAACTACCCTAAGAATTGTTCTTTGTTTATTAAAATAATTTTTTACGATAAATATATCATTTTATTTATTATTTACTTTTTGTTTCTCTTAAATACTATTAATTACCTAAAATCACCAATCGAATTTTAAATTTCATTTATATTCTCTTTTGTAATCTCAACATATTATACCAAATTGAAAACATGTATTTCTATTTATAAAAAAATTAAGTTTAAATGCTTTTGTACGTATATTAATCATTCATAATTTGACCTTTTTTTTATTTTGATTTATCTAATAAAAATTATATATATATATATATATCATATTAATAATCATAAAAATAACATAGCTTAATTCAAATAATTGATATATGTTATTGTTTTCTTAATTTAAAAAAAAATCTTATATATTTCTTTATATGCATATATACAATATTGTGTAAGTGGTTGTTTTCAAACTCAAATATAAAAGCATACACAATATATATTATCAAATGAGTTAGACCAGTCCATTCAATTAAAAAACAAGTGAACCGGCTATGTATATTCAGTTAATTAAGCTTAACCCACCCACAAAATAGCTGATCCAACTCAGAAACTGAAAATCAATTGATGAAGAACTAGTTTAAACCTATGGTTGCAATTTTAAACTTTTTTATTCGACCAAAAAGCTTTTTTAAATTAAACAAAGGATCAACACAGAGTTTGAAATTTCACTTATAAATTAGTTTTTATACAACCTTTCTATTGATGATTTTTTTTTCAGTTGTATTATAGAACATATAATGCGGATATTTTATATATTATAAATAAATTAAATATTGTATTAATAAGAAGTAATGTTTTTAAACTTTATTTTTATATTATACAATAATAAAATTATTTTATCACTAATTCAATCGAAATTCACTTCTATCAAATCAATAAATTATGATATAGTAAAATTAACAGTTACACCTGTGCAGTAAAATTGTGTTATTTACGTCGCATCGGGAATCGAATGTAATGGAATTTGAAACTGCATTATTAAGGCTGAAAAAAAAAATCACAAAATAAGACAATTATGAGCAGTTCATCATATTCTATCAATCAAGTAAAAGTATACAGTCGCTTCTAAGACAATTTTTTTCAATTATTGTTCTAAAAATTATGGTTAAAAAATTAATAGGAAAAATTGAAAAGTAAGATCAATATATATTAATAATATTAAATATTATATTTGAAATGAAAAACATATTTTTAATCACTGTCGTAAAGATCAGAATTAACCAAATTGGCACAGTTGTGATATGAATAATATTTTGATTTTGAAACTTGCATTATTTGTCCAATTGGCTCATCCAATCCGATGCACGTCTAATCTCGAAGGTCCAACCGGGGTCCTGTTGAAGCGCAATATGATCATGGAGTACCATCATTCACAAATTTCAGAAATGAATATCTATTGAAAAATCTATTGAAAAATCGAAAGTTGATTTGATCGATAATTAAAAAAAATTGAGAATGATTTTCAAATGTCTTTATCTAATCATTTTCATTATTTTGCATATTTCTTTCGAACTTACAACAAAATTTAAATATTCTGTAAACAGGTAAACAAGTCACAAACTTTTTATTTGAGTCTTCCTAGTTTCTAAAAGTTAAAAAAACAATTCAATATTTTTCTTATTTTACATATATCTTTTATGAATGATAATATTACTCGATATATAACAAGATCGATACTAATATATAAACGATTAATTTCGCTTATTCTTTTTTAAAAAAAAACTTATTCCACTAGACGTCCGGAATTATAAAAAGTCTTTTAGCTACAAACACCCAATTATAATATGATTTAAAAGTTTTAAAATTAAGACAAAATAGAGTACGTAGAACAAGTTAACTGATATTTAAGAGAAAAAGATCGAATAAATTGAAGATAAAAATGGGCCATTTAATTTGACAACTTTTCCTTTAAATGATGACAGATAAGTTAAAATATTTAATTAATTTATTTAATTATTTTAAATGTTTGACATGATGTTCATTATCATTTCCTTTTCTGTTACAAAAATATGTAAAAAAAAAACAAATTCTGAATTAAATAGAGAGAAATACTTCACTTAATCTTTTAATAAATAAAAATAAAACTAGTTCAAATATAACTAAGAGATAAGAAGGAATTTATTTTTAAGACCAACTCACGGTCATATCAAAGAATAACAACGTTTTTTTTTTTTTTTCTAATTAGTGTTGCTTTTATTTTTTCTAAAAAATTATATTAAAAGTGATATTTCATTTAAAATAAAAAGTCATTATATTAAAAAAATATTTAAAAACATGTATTTACATCACTTTAAAGAAATAATTATAAATCCAAACTTGTAATTTATATTCCTCCCTTAATAGCTTATTAGTAAGTTTAAGAAAATATAAAAGATGAAAAGCAAAGTAATCACGTCCCAAACTGCCCTAAACAAACTCATAGCCTACAAAAACACTTTATTATTCCAAAATAAAAATTATTTAATAATTTAATTATGTTTTTAGTCTTTAAAAAAGTTACACATTTTAAATTTAATCTCTGTATAAAAAGCTATACTT